GCGTTGCTGGTGTTGGAGAGGGTGTAGTGCAGCACAGGAGAGATCCATCCAATTTTGGGAGCAGAGGAGAACGGCGTTGCTGCTCATGGGGGGTTTGGGATTGGCTCGAAGGGGGCCTGGGGACAGCAGGGCTGCAGCTGGACCACAAAGCTGTGATGCTGCCTGGGCTGGGTGTCCCCACCCTTCCCAGGGGAGATGGTTTCCAAGGCAGGTTTCAGCACAGACTGAGCCTCCAGTTAATTTAAGTGATGATACAAAGCAGATGAACGCTGTCCTCTCGGAGCAAGGGGGAGGAAGGCAAAACCAGCGAGCATGGCACGCTTTGTTTCTCCTGGGGAAACGTGGCAGTGGAGTTCTCTGTGGACAACATCAGAGCTCGCTGTTGAAGGCCCTCAGTGCATCTTCCTCCACGGGACCTTCTCGGGAGCTCTCAGAGCCATCCCCTGGGCAGTTCAGCGCTGCAGCCGCGCTGAGGGCAGTGTTTTATGCCAGGCACCTCTCTCTGCTCTGCCCGTGTGTGCCTCCACGCTGCGTAAGCAGCTGCTGGGGTTTCTCCTTCGAGCGGGAACCCAGCGCCTTGGTTCCTTGTTCCTGCTGGCGTTCACGTCTGTGTTATGCTTTGAATCCCCGTGACCTGTCCTTTCTCTGACCTGCAACATCTGCGGCTTCAGATGCGAGGGGCGGGTTTGGCTGGACCCAGACATCTCCGCTGGTGCTTGAAACGTCGCCAGCGCCTGTCCTGAATCTGCTCGGTGTCTGTGCTCATTGCTTTGCCCTTCTCTGTTTGATTTACTGCCTCCTTGTCTGTGCTTTTTAGCTGCGAAGCGACCCGACTGCTGGATCCCCTCCCGAATCAAAACACGGCAGTTCTTCCAAGCACAACGAGCTGTTTTGGGGCAGTTTAGGGGCTTGCTTGGGAGCGAGGTGCTGCGTGAGAGCTCGCAGCACGCAACAGCATCTCGATAGCATCACCACCTCCCGGAGTAAAACCTCTGCCAGCACCAACCCAAGCTCTTCCTGGCACCCTCCCAAGAGGGATTTGCTGACAGATAAGAAGGAACAAAGAGGAGGGAAGCGCCCTTTTGGGGTGGGCTCAGTTGGTCCCGATCTGTGCCAAGTCCGGGGTTGAGTGGTGGTTTTAGGCAGCTGCGTTCCCCTTGAAAAGAGCCTGGTGTGCAGCTCAGGTCCTGGTGGAGCAGGGTTTGCTGCTGGAGCAGGGTTTGCTGCTGTGTGTGTGTCCGTGCGGGGAGGAACTTGCAGGAGGAGTGGTCGTCGTGTGGCACCGGCCCAGGGCTCTGCTCCCAAAGCCCCGGGCGAGGACACGCGTGGGCTCTCGCTCCGTGACTTGTCGGGGTGTACAAAGTTGGGTCGCACCTTCCTGGACGCAGCAAAACGGGACGTGTGTCAGGAAGAGCCTTTTGCCTCCTCGTTGGGAGCTGCAGAAGAGCCGCGGTCTTGGGAGGAAGATGAAGACGCTCTCGAGCTGTTTTCTGAAATGCTGCTTTTCTTCAAGCTCGCTCTCCGCTCCGGCTGCTTCTTGCAGATCCATCCTGCGATTTATTGCTCCCCTTCTTTCTCCTTCGTGCTACCAGCCTCCCATTTCTGGCCTGCCCTTCCTCAAGAAGGGGCCTTTGGCAGGCGAGGAGGCTCCTGCCGTGCCAAGGAACATCCATCAGGAAGCCTTCCAGCCTCCACTGGATCCAGCTGAAGCCGACTCTGCGCAGAGCTCCCCAAACGCCAGCGGCCTGGGCGCTGACCTGGGATGAACCGCTAAACCGCAGCCAGCCCCGTCCGTTCCTTCGCCTTTGGCAGGGAGCAGAAACAAGCTGTTTTCTGTCCCGTTTCCAAACGGCCCCGCTCGCTCTCCACGGGGACGGTTGGACGAGGTCCAGCTCGCTCCTCGGGGCTGAGCTTTGCCCTTTGTCCACCCCATTGGCAGGGAGGGCGGTACCCGGAGAGGATGGGGCAGCAGAAGGACAGAGGGACAAGGGGCGTTAGACAGGAACGAGCTGAGGAAAGTCTCCTTGGTTTGAGCCGGTCTAATTCCTGAATTTAAGCCCTCTTGCATCCTGCTAATTTCCAGGGCTTCCAAAGGGGGATGGAGGCAAGCTTCACCCCGCTGGGCTGTAATGCTGCAGATTTACGGCTGTGCCACGCTTGTGTGAGTCAACTCTCAGAGCCTGCAGCCTTCGGGCAGGAGGAGAGGGGGCTGAGGCTCAGGGATGCAGTCACTGGGCGGATGCAAGGCAGGGGCTGGCCCTGTTTTGCCAAAAGGCCTCTCTGTTAGCAATTTGCAGATCTTGAGGGGAAAACAACATCTGCGCGGAGGATTCTGCCTTCCCTTTTTGTGTCCGTCCAGATGATCAAATGCAGGTCCCTGGTGGGCTGGAGCTCGCTTCCCCGGCAGCTCAGCTGTGGCTGATGGCTCTCAGATGTTTGTGGAGGTGACATCAAAGTCTGCAGCGTGACAGATCCATTCATCCTTGCGCTGAACCTCCCTGCTGACGGAGGTGTCTCACCCTCTGAGGAGCAGATGGATACACAGGAAACCTTGCACAAGGTGCTGTCGCTGCTGCGGAGCTGTCGAAGGCTCTCAGCCAACTTCAGCCAGGCTCCAAATCCCTCGTTTCAGGGCTGGATCAGAAATGTGGCCCGTGGAGTAGCAGAGAGAGGTAGGAGAGACCTGGGAGCGTGGTGGTGGTGAGAGCTGCCCTGGCTGAAGGACAGGAGCTGGTCATGGCTGTGTCTCCCCTGAGTCCAAGCAAGCTGGGCAGCTTTTCCACATCAGCACACGCAGGGACAGGGTTGTGCTGTGGGACGTTGTCATGTAGGGAACCTCCCTGACCGTCAGACCAGTTTCCCTGATCACCTCCTCCTGCGTGGGCTTGAGAAACACCCGGGGGCAGGGGTTTCCCTGAAAGCCATTGGTGTTCTCCACGCTGCTGTGGCTGCAGGGAGCTGCGGGTGACTGCGTGCAGGCCTCGGCACAAGGCTCCCGAATTTCTGATTAAAAATGGCACAGTTCTCCAGGTGAGTCAGCGGGGTGATGGGTGCACGGCTCTCCCATAGCCACGCTGCACTGGCAAACAGTATTTACCCACCGCTTACGTGTTTTAATTTTGCAAAGGGCGTGGATCTGGGTGCTGCCTCCCCTCCCAGCCCCTGCCAGGGAGGATTTCTTGATAAGCCCAGAGAAACTGGGTTCTCGCCGGATGAATTTTGGCAGAGGAGGAGGCGCTGCTGGCTGCGGGCGGCTCTTGGCGGTGCCGGCGCGGCCCCGCTTGTCACGAGGAGTTGCGCAAACGTGGCCGATCAAAAGGAGAGAAACATCTGGGGGCTGTTAGGAGGAAAGGAGCGGGCTCTGGCTTTGGAGGAAGGAGATGGGTTCATGAGCCGGGCTCTGGAGCTGCTGCTTCAAAGGAAGCCTGAGCGAAGGTGGAGGCAGCGTTTGGTTGTGTAAGGGGCTCAGCCCGTGCGTCGTGTCCGTGTCTTTGAACTTCAGCGCGAGGCATTAATCCCGTGGCCGGCTCCTGCGTGACTTCCCCGATGCAATGAGCTTCTCAATGCAGGGCTTGCTATGTTTTCGGGATCTCCCACTTGCAGAGACATCATCCATGGCCTCAGGCTCCATGGTGGGAGCAACTCAAGCTCTTGGTTTTGCATTTACCAGCATTTTTGGGGAGGAAGGGAGCGGGTTTTGGCTCCAGCTGCCATCAAACCAACCCCTCCACAGCTCTGAGCCTGCCCCTAGAAGCTGAGGAGGACGGGCAGGCTGCAGGGATGGTCTGGTGCCCCCAGCCCTCCCACACCAAGGGTTTTGCACTGAAATTAATGCCTGTATGCAGATAAACTCGTCAGCCTGCAGTCACCCTGCCAGGCTCCGTGGGGATAACGAGGCAGCTTCATTAGCGATCCTCCCCAGCACGGCCGTGCACACCACCTCCGTTCGCAGGGCGGCAGGAGAGGAGCCATGGGGATGTCCTGGCACGTTGAGGAGCCTGCGGCAGGGCAGAAATGCTGCTCTGCTGGCTCGGTGGCTCTCCCAGCCTCACATCTTGGCAGCGGGGAGCTTGAGGATCAAAGGATCCAGGAGAGCTGCTGGTTTGAACCACGGGTGCAGCAGGCTGGAGCACGTCGGGGCGGCTGGTGGGTCGTGGGGTGCTGTTGTTGTTGAGGGCCGCAGGGGGAAGCGTGGGGTGTAAACCTGGTGGCATCTGCCAGCCAGCGGTGTGGGTGCTCGCTGGCCCAACTGCTCTGCTCCAGGGGATGCAGAGGGGCTGTGGGTGCTGCCCTGGGTCAGGACCCCTTGCAGGAGTGGTTAGGTATTGTGTTGTGGCTCACAAATGCCCTTCCTGGGTGCCTGGAGAGGGAAGGAGGGGAGCTTTTGCCTCCATCCCCAAGCCAGGAGCTCAGCTTCCTTCCTGCCCGCCAGCCTCGTGACCAGTGCTGTTAGGAAGTGGGATTGCCCCACTCCTCCTGGGCATTGCCTCTGCCAGCGCTGCTGCTTTCCAAGGAACCCACAGCACAACCCACGCTGCAGCCCCCACTGTCCCCAGGGTGCAGGCTCTGCAGGCAGTGACCCTGTGTCGGGGTCTGGTGACACTCCAGGTCTGACGTCTCCCATTGCGCGGCGGTGGCTTCTGCCCATCCCGTTCCTGCTCTCCCATCGCTCTGCCTGCAGCAGGGGAGGCTGCAGCTCCCGATGTCCTTCCCTCCCTGTCCCTTGGAGCTGGATCCGGCCTCGGAAATCCCTCCTGGGGAAGAACAGCAAGAGGGCAGATGGCACCGGCTGCTCCCCAGCGAAGGCCAGGCCCCTCGCAGGGCAGCGTTTAACG